TTTTCATCTTTTCATTCTCTCACATTTTTTTCTTTTCCCTTTTTGTTCTTCCCCTACGTATCACACCTTCCCTACACCTTTAGCTCCTTTCCTCCCATTTCTAAATGTCAGTAATCTTATTAGAATCTTATGCATTGTTGCAGAATATTCACACCAGGGAAACTATTTGGTATTTACACATGTGGGACTTATTTATTTCACTTAGGAGTATATCTTCAATATGTATCCATTTAACTGAGTAATTTTAATATAACTTTTGTTTAAACAAGAGAGTCCTAAGAGTTTTCCCAGCTTTTTTCCCCTAAAAGTGAATTGTTCTTTTCTTACCATGGACAGTGATGATCCATTCTCCTTACACAGTGGCCACAGCGGCTACAGTGATGGGAACGCTTTGGTCTCATCAAATTACACTTGTTACATAATTCCCAGAACTCCCTTTCTAGAGAAGAAAATTAAAATCCATTTAATGAAGAAAAATGAGTAATCTTGAAATTCAGTAACTGTTTACAAGATTTTTAGGAAGTCTTCAGTATATATCTCTAACATATTTTTCTAAGTCTCTAGTGTAATTTTGTTTGCCATAATGCAGCTGTTCTACACATCTTATTTTGTATATTTCTAATTTTAAACACTACAGAAATAAAGTACTATTATAGTCAATGTACAGGATAGAAAACAGTGTATTTGTGTTGTGAACATATTGCTAGAATATAAGTAAATATAAGTAAAATCTAGTAATGAAACCCTAATGTCCACCCAAATTATTTTAATAGCATTTTATTTAGACAAGTTAATTTATAAAAGCCTTATTTCTAAAGCACTAACATGAGAAAATAATGTGGAGTCCTGGTTTGAGGAAACTAAAAACTTGACATCAATCCCACAACTCATAAGGCAAACATACATGGTATTCCCCCAACAAATACCGTTTCCCTGAACCAGTGATGGCGAACCTTCTACAGCATTCAATGATACAAACAGCCGCTGCAGCACGTATGCTACACTTCACCCACTGTGCCTAAACCATTTTATCTCCCTAATATCAACGGGTTAATTTGAAACTGTGGAGCAAGCTGGAGAAAGTGGTCATAGAAATTGCAAAGGCATGAGAATACTTTTGATAGCTACGGTAACAAGAAGAGTAAAGGAGTTCTTTAAAAAAAACTCCACCCTATCACCAAATAACAATTTTCTCTGGCATATATTAAAAGAGAATACAATTAGGTTCTTGTGCTAAAACCATGAGATTTGCATAAACAGAAAATGTATTAGTTTTCAGCGTAAGTTGCTCTAATCAGACCCATGATACCTTTAACAGCATTACCTTTTAAGTCAAGACAACTGCTTTTTATTACATAAAATGTATCTTTTTAATATTTGCTAAAATGGAATTTTACTTCAATAAAATTCTTAAAATTTGCAGCACTTATGTTTATACTACTTCCCCATCTCACTTAAAAGCATGGGCATACTTAGACACAGTTAAACGAGTACAGGTATTTAACTGTCAACACATTACAATGTCACAAGCATATCATCTTTTTTATTCTCTTATCTCAATGCTCCCAGAAATTCAAATTTAAAACTTAGAATTCACACATAGCAAGGAATATAGTCAGAAAGGAGCTGTTACACAATGAACCAATTTTCACAAAAGGTAACATAAAAACTTTACATTTATAAGTCGATCCTTTGCAACAAATAGTGTTTTCATTCTCATATCTTCTGAGAAATCAACATATAATATTCTACAGAATAAACTCTTTATTTCATATCTACAATGTTGTATATTCATAAAAGATAGCATTTGGTATAGTCAGAAAAAGCCTCAATTCTGTTCTCTGGACCACACCTTGGCAAACTATAGTCTGCAAGAAAATCCACTTCACCAGCCTTTTTTGAATGACCCAAAACTTTAAGTGACATAAAAAATTAAAATAATAACTGTGACATGTAGAAATCATGAAATTCAAATTTCAATGTCCAAAAACAAAGCTTATTTCCCATGCACTCATTCATTCACATACTATCTTTGGCTGATTTTATGCTTCAAGGGCAAAACTGATGGTGAAAGATCACATGGCCCAAAATGCTGAAAATATTTACTACTGGACCTTTATAGTGAGGACAAATATGTGATCTATAGTCTGGATCACATATTTGTCTAAATAAATAGCTTGAAATATTCCTTTGGCTAAACTGATGATACTACTGCAGCATCTGAAATGAGAAAGACTTGTATAACTCAGTTACACACACACACACACACACAAAAAAAAAAAAAAAAACCACACACACTCTGTGTGATCAGAAAACAAAGAAATTAACACTGTACAACTCCAGAATTGTAATCAAAGTATCATCTACAATGTTTTTGCCTGGTGTAGGGAAAAAAATCCATTCACTTTAACCTGGCCTGTATATAAGTAAAGTACTTTTTAGTCCTTGCCTTTTTGTCCTTCGGGGTTTACTAATGTCCAAATAGGATCTTAGTGACTGACAATTCTCTTGTCTGATGATTACCTAAAAGATTTTGTATAGCCAGATAATAATATAAATAAAAGCCAACTAATAGAACTCAACTGATAATCTGTCAGTTACAAAAAATTCAAAGCTAATACCATTTCCAAGGGAGAGAAAAATCAAAACAATACAAAGAAAAAAGACACTCCATCAATGACTGAAGCTATGCGATGGAAGCAAGCAGCATGACATTCGGTGAACCAGGATTTCTACTCATGCTATAAATGCCTCAGCAAAAATCGGTTTGGTATTTTTGTAATGTTTTTATTAAGTTAAAACCATACTATTAAAGAATCAGGTAATCAGCATCAAAAAATACATGATTTCAATTTTCCTCAAAATCATAGCAAGAGCTAAAATTATTACTCTCTATATACCAGCAGGCCCAAGATAAACCAGAGACAAGGCTCTGGACTTCATGCCAGCTCTGTAATATTGCAGCTGCATACTCATAGTGTGTGCCATCCAGGCTACTGACTACCCAGCCTACCCATCTCAGTTACCAGGAGGGTTATGTACATGAGACATCTAAAGACTTTGGAAATGTCAAAATATAACAAATTAATGTATTTTTTCCAACTAAGTAACAGGGAAGTTTCTTGGACTCAAGGAAGAGAAATAAGCCAACTGAGACAAGATAAAATACAGACATCCAAAATGTCAGCAAGACTCCATGTTTTTCTCCAATAGCAGAGTCTACAACCTAAAGATAACACAGTGGTGTCATGGAGCAAATTAGAACTGCAAATGTTTATTTCTATGCCTGTTTTATAAACTGTGAATTATTTGTTGACTTTTGTAAGCATGTATGATGCTAAAGATTAAACCTAGACTTTTTTTAATGACAGAATTTCTCATAAAGATTGGGATTCCCTGTTGTAGCATCTGGACATTATTTATCCCAAGGTCCATGTGTTGGGAGCTTGATCCTCCATATGTCGATATGGAAGCTAATGGCATCTTTAAGAGGCAGGACCTGGTAGGAAGGTCTTGGTCCCTGGCACACTATCCTCAGAAAGGAATACTATCTTCCTAGAGTGACCTCTGTCTCCCCTCCTCCTGCTCCAGTCTCTCTCTAGCTTCCTGTATGGCAATGTGATTTCTCATTCCCACCTGTCCTCCTTCCTCCGCCATCCACTATCATGTGACATAGCCAAAATGGCCTTCATGCATCATCATTCTCGAACCTCCAGAACTGTGAGGTAAGTGAAATTCATTCTTTCATAAATAGCCTACCTCAGGTATTTTATTACTGTAACGGAACACAGAAAGTTGGACTCCAGAAGTACAGTGAAGTCATTACTATAACTGTGGTGGACTGACTAACGGTCAACTGGTAACACCCAGCTAACATGAGTCAGCGTGGTCTGGGAGGATCTTGGCCTGATGATTTTCTTGGAGATGCCTGCTGTGATGGTTTTCCTGATGCGAACTTGGCTGTTCTCGTCAGAGGAGGAGCTCAGGGCCTCGCTGTCACTGGGAATGGCTGCTGTTCTCGTCAGGGGAGCTCTCATCTTCACCTTGAGCAGCACTTCCCAGGTCCAGTGTGGATCCCTCAGATGGTGGCACAAATCCTTCATCTCATAGGCATAGGTTTCCTGGCTTCCACCGCTGGCCTTTGGGTCCTCTGGGGGCAGACGCTCAATTCAGACAAGCATGAGACATTGCCGTGGGCTCTAGGCAATGGCTGGACTCGTGGAGGACACTGCCTTGGACTCTAAGCCTTTAGCTGGACTTGTGTGGGGAAACGCTGGGATCCAGGCCCTCAGCTGGATTCTTTGGATCGCTAATGTGCAGTTGATCTCTCCTGCACTTCTTTGCATTTGACTTTTTTGGATAATTATCAAAAATAATCCTATAAATTATGTGTTCTCTATTTAATGTATTTCCTTGCCACAACCCTGACTACAACAATAAGTATACCTAAAAATGTGGACTGCCTGTGAAAGTAGGATTCTGGCAGAGGTTGGAAAAGTTTGAAAGAACAGGCTAGAAAATGCCTAGAATGCTAGAAGCAGAATCTTGTGGGCAACTCAGGGCTCTGAAGAGGATGAGACCAGCCAGTTAGGCCTAGATGGAATGAGCGTTCTACTGGGACTTGGACTAACGCCTTGCCAGAACATGTACCACATCATTTGGACTTTCTGTATCCAAACTTGTGACCTAAATAAACACTTTCCTTTATAAAGTTATCCAGCCTCAGGTATTTCATAACAGTAACAAAAAGCTGCTGATAGCACCTTTTTCTCCTTCCAAATTTTAAGATCTAACAATCTAAGTTGATGATAATTTCACAGGGACACAATTGTGGTTCCTGTCTTTAGAGACAGGTATGTGTTTTCAATATGAAAACCTGGCCCTTTTACTAATCACTGTGTCTGGAACCTACAGCCAATTGAGTTCATCAGAAATGGGTCCCAAGTTTTTTTAAAAAATGCTTCTTTATTCTGGGCTACTGGGTTTAAGTACTGAAATAAATAACACATTTATGCAATATGTTGGAGTGGTTTTGACTACGCCAGTTGGGAAAGGGATTCTACAAGATTGCTGAGTGACATCCTCCTCTCTGTTCCCACTGCAAAACACACACTAACTATGTAGTAACCAGTAACTCCTATAAGCTAGTAAAAACTAGTCGATACAGTGTTGAGAAATTTATACAGCTACATAAACATCAGTGTAATCCTATTTGATATCTAAATTTGCAAGGCCAAGTAAGCCCCAAAATGATGGGTATCAAAAACATAAAATCAGGACTTACAGGAGGTTCTGTAAGTGACCTGGCACTTAATCTCATTACATAAAGAATTGCTGCATTGGTTTCCAAACTGCTGTACACTGGAATTACTTAGGAACTTTCAAAACAACTAATACCTGTGTCTATATTCAGATATTCTGATTAAATTAACATGGGGTGCAACTCAGATATTGAAATTTTTAAGATGCTTCCCAGGTAAGCACTGGTTCTTATCACGTACTGCAAAGACATATATAAATTTCTTCCTCAAATAAAATGCAGAGTTCTCAACACATAGAGCAAATAATCAAAATATGAGACTCAGGAAAGAGGATAAATAGGTTTGTACAATATCTGGTATATAATAAAACAATGCATTTCATTCACTTTTGTGGTTTGAATGGTTAAGCAACAGGATGATCAAGTTACCTTTAAATAACACTAGAAAAAAAGGTTTTCAAATTTTTACTGGATTGTTAGAATCTGGAGAATTACAGGTAATAGTGTCCATAATACTATAAATATTTACTCCAAGAAATATACTTGCAATATCATGAGGTTAATGGCAACAAGAAAATTCTCTTTGCAAAGAAAATAGAATTTCTCAGCTAGGCCTAGTGGCACATGACTAATCTCAGGTACCTGGGAGGTTAAGGCAAGAGGATTAAGTTAAAGGGCAGCCTCAATTTAGGAGTACCCTGTTTCAAAATTTTAAAACATGCTGGACATACAGCTCATTAGTAGAGCACCCCTGAGTTCAATACCCAAGATTGCCACTCAAAAGAGAATGAAACATATCTCACAGAATTATATTCTATTAAAAAATATCTGTTGCACATCTAAGAGGCAGCGACTGCTAGGCACTAGGGTTACAGCACCGAACAAAGAAAATGAAACCAAAGTCCACAGCCCTCACATAGCTTAGATCTGGAGAGCAATACAAAAATGTGGGGTGGCTGGAGGGAGACAAATGTAAACCACTGAGAAGGACACCCAGGCAGTGAGAGAGGTGTGAGGGGCTAGTGTACAATGTTAACAGAGAAATCTGGAAAGAAATATGTGAACAAACTTAAAAGTGGTGTGAAAAAGCAGCAGTGTTAGATGACATATAACATACATTAAAGGCAATAAAATATATTAACAAAGATGGTAATTCCAGCATCAGCAAAACTCATAAATCCAAAGAATACCATACCTCCATGTGGGATTTTAGGGTTCTCGGGGAGTCTTCCTGGATCAGTTATTGAGGCCCTCACTAAGGCAACCAGACAAAATATGGCAATGCCGTAGAATACTTCAAAATAAAGACATTAAATAAATTACTCACTTACCCTTTAAAGCATTTTAACAACAAGCAGCTACTTTAAAAAGTATAATTTATATAGCACCATCAGAATAAATAATTTCAGAAAACTGAACAACTAATTCATTTCATTCACCAAAGAAAACTATTAAGCTGGGCACAGTGGTGCACACCTGTCATCCCAGCACTCAGGAGGCTGAGGCAGGAAGATCACCATGAGATCGAGGCCAGCCTGGAATCCACAGTGAGTTTAAGGCCAGCCTGAACCACACAGTAAGATCCTGTCTCAAAAAACAAAACAAAACAAAATAACAACAACAACAAAACAAAGCGGGGAGGAACTATTAAATGTACCAATTTTGAATATTAATTTACATCTACTATATTTATTATTTTAATAACTGATGAGCTTGCTACAAATCAGGTTCTTATTAACAATGATTCTCCAACTATGGTATAAATGAATGGGTTCTCTTTTAATTACCTTGTACTATGTTTGAATGGATTAAAATAGTATTTAAAAAATATTCCACACTTCATTTTCATCCACTCTATCTTCAAAATTACTCAGAATTAGTGATATTTAATTGTAACTTTTGATAGAGATTAAGAATCTCTAGAATATAAAATTAAAACTTTTGAATTTTAAAATAAGCAGAAAAGTAACAGTGAGAAAAAATAGATTCAGTCACCATAATTTCACATTTAAAATTAAAAGGACAGGCATTTTATTCACTCAAACAAAAAATAAGACATTGTAAAGGAACAATCTGAGTGCTCACTTCAAAAATGACTACACAGATTGACTAGTTTCATCATTTTTAAAACAAAGATAGGGCTGGGGATTTAGCTCAGTGGTTCCAAGTGCCTGCCTCACAAATGCAAGGACCCGAGTTTGATCCCCAGTACCAAAAAAAATAATAATAATAATAAAAAGATAATATTTGCCATAGTTCTTATGAGACCAAAATGAGATAAAGTATGTGAAAAGTGTAATTGCCATATACATGTATCACTTGCATGTGATTTTTTTTTAATCACAAGCAAGTCCTCGTCAACAGAATGTAGCAGAAAATAATTATCCAGAAAGTTTGAAGTGTTTTCATAATCAATGATTTTCATATCATGAAATCACATTTCCTAGCAATGTATACCATTCTCACCACTTTCAAATTTGCAATTAAATGCAAAAAGAAACATAAAAATTATACATACAAATGTCTTTATATATTTTGCAGAGTTAGATGACTATGGAAAGAGCACTTTTATCTAACTCTGCAAATAATCTCTATAAGGTTATTTTTTAAACTTCCACAGTTTAATAAACAACAATATTAATAACACAACTAAAATAATAAGTACATCAAAAGGAAGGTTACATAGAAGGTGCATTACATTTGAAAAACATTCACAATGAGAAAAATCTTTATACAAAGATCTAGAAACTTACTTATTATTAGTATGCCTGGAATATGCCCTTCTTCATAGTGCGGAAAGAGGACAATCTTGGGGATTAAAATAATATTGTATAACCAGACAAAGACAATCATACCCATGCAGCACCAGCCATGTGGGTCAACAACAAAGTGAATGCGGAGGCCCATTGTACAGTCCTATGACTGCCTGGCAAACACACCAGGAACGACAACCCTAGGGAAGAAAAACGAAAAAAATTACTAACACAGAAAAATCTATTTGACTAAAAACTGTATTTCTGGAAATTATAAAATGACACTGAGGTTTTTTTGTATATATTCTTTTTGTTTCTTTCTTTAATTAATTTTTGGTTTTTTTGGTTGTTTTTTTGTTTTGTTTTGTTTTTTTTGTACCAGGAATTGAACTCGGGACCTTGTGCTTATGAGGCAGGCGGTGAAACCACTGAGCTAAATCCCTAGCCCCTTCTCAATTAATTTTATTGGTACATTTAAGGTATACAATGTAATGATATTCATCATTGGAAATTTACACCTTTACATAATCCACCCTGGTTACTTCTTTCCCATTCCCCTGCTCTCCCTTCAACCCCTCCACCCCTCCCTATCTACAAAGATTTTGTTTCCACTTTTTCTTTTTCTCATGTTAATTCCATTCCCATCTTTCTTTTTCCCTACCCCTCCTACTTCCTCTTTGCCTTCCCCTTTGCCACCTTTTTTTCCTATTTCATATTATTGTATTATAGCTAAATGGATGCACAATGAGGCAATACTCTTAAGTGAAACAAATGGGATACACATGTGTTAAACCAAACAGTTTCTCTAGTGTGAGAAAATGAAAGTGTAAATATATTCTTTTGACCATAAACACAGGAAAGCAAAAACTTCAGAATACTCAAATTTCACCCAAAGCTTTAAATAGATTAATTTTAATTTGTCATAAATTGATTTTAAAGGTACAAACTGGCATTATCTGCTAAAGTTAAAACAGATTTATCCTTCACTCAAGGAATCCCACGTGTAAACTCAAAGGACATGAGCACATACACACACACACACACACACCCATCAAAAGACCTGTGCGAAAAATGTTAGTGGCTTTAACCATAACTAACTGATGGTCACACAACTCAAAATCAGTTATTTTGGAGCGGAAGAAGTAGGTATGGACTGAGAAGGTACGGACAAATCAGGAGGGCCTAACATGCTCTCATCTTAAGCTGGATCATACTCTGTGGGTATCTGCACAAGTAAACATTCACCGAGCTGTACACTTCACACTTGCATGCTTCAGTTTAATTTTAAACTACAACAAAACATTTCAAAGATCATTCTGAAAAGTAAAAGTGAAAAATGACTAAAAATATTAAAATTCATGGAACGAAGCCTAACTAATCTCATTACTATCAACTCAAGAACTCTTGTTTAAACAGGGTTTTTTTTCCAGTTGAGCATTAACAATCCACCAACAACCTCCAAACAAGACAATGAAAGAGTTAAGGTATTTCTATATATATGATATGAATAAGGTGACTTTAAAAATATATCCAGGGGGCGGGGATTTAGCTCAGTGGTTTGGTGGCCTGCCTTGCAAGCGCAAGGACCCGAGTTCAATCCCTGGTACAAAAAAAAAAGTATATCCACATGTTAGTAGATACAACTTAAAAAGCTTAATATTTATAGTCTGGGGAGCACCTTTTACATAAAAAATAAGGTATAACAATAAATTAAGACAATGATTCTCACAGCTGCAAGCAAATAAGAATCAAGTAAGGCGCTTTTAAGAAGTAGAGTCACGGACCAGGGATTTAGCTCAGTGGTTCCACCGCCTGCCTTACAAGCACATGGACCCAAATTCGATCCCTGGTACCAAAAAAAAAAAGTATAGTCACAAACACCATTCAAGATCTACTGAATTCATAATACCCCAAACGAATAAAAGCTTTTAAAATGCGCTATAGGCGCTAATATAGCTGTTACCTAGGAGCCACTAAGGAACTTCACTGAGGTCAATGTTACAGCACTGAGTTGAACTTAGTTAAGAGCCTCCACTATATATGTCACCTGCTAGATATTACAGATACAAATGTGAATAAGACACTGTCATCTAATGGAGAAAGGCATTTAAAAAAGCTTTAGTATGGGCTAGGAATTTAGCTCAGTGGTGCTGCTGCCTGCTTCACAAGCACAAGGTCCTGAGTTCAATCTCCGTACCAAAAAAAAAAAAAAAAAGCTTTAGTATGATATGCTAAGATCCAGATTTGTGGACAAGTTGTTAGTAAGGGCACAGAAGATGGGAACTGGGTAAACAAAGTGTCATCCCAAATCGTAAGTCTTTCAGTGGTTAGTGACAGGGAGAAATAACGGACTATATCACATAGGCATAAAGATGCCACTTGAATACTGAATTCATTCTTAGACACAGGAAAGCTATCAAAGCAAGGGGTTAACAAGAGAAGATCTGCATTTTCAAAAAGTTAGTGGAGCTCTGGGGTAGAGAATAAAGACAGTTTAAGAAATTACAGAAACCCATTAAGTTTTACAGAAGGGACCAACGAAATAGAAATCAAACCAGTACGTTTTACTAAGTGACTCTATACTAGGAGTTACACAGGAAAGCGAAGATTGACTCCTACATTTCAAACTTACATCCTAGACCATTCTAAGAATAATTTCTCTTCAATTGATGAGTCCCCACGGTACCATCCCTTACAGGCCTTTCCAATGCTCACCAAAGCCATAAAGTTACCAAGTCAAAGGTAAAGGAACACTAATGTTATTTTTAAAGAAGCACCCATCCTCTCATTCCCAATACAGAAAAGTGAGGCAACAGAAGGAGGAAAAGAGAGGAGAAGAGGAGAAAGATAAAGGAGAAGAAAGAGAGAAAGAGAAGAAGAGGGAAAGAAGCCCATATGCAATATCATCCAATGAAAAGCCCGGCGTGGTGGCACATGCCTGTAATCCCAGCACACGGGAGGCGAGGCAGGAGGATTGCCGTAAGTTCGAGACCAGCCTGGGCTACATGTAAATAAGTTCCAAGTCAGTCTCAACTACGGAGTGAGACCCTGTCTCAAAAAACCAAAACAATATTATCCAATGGTTTAAATCAGATATGGTCCAAATTAGTACTTATGTATCAGAAATTTAAAACAGGAACAGTGCCCAGACCTTTCAAAAGTAAAAGCTGAACTTCATTACCTTTCAATTAGGAAATTAAAAGTCAGATCAGTATCATTAAAGTGAGGAAAGTCAGACAGGATAAAGCATACTATGTAATCTGCTAGGTATCGTTATTTTTAAAAGTAAACTATCTATCTATACAGCTAAAAAGAAACATTCCAAAGAATGTTAATTTTTTTACAGCCTTCCCAATTATCAAATGCAAAAAGAAATGACAGAAAAACTCTTCTAACATATTTACTATTATTAACTTCATATACTTTTTTTTTTTTT